TTGGGACCGACGCTGCAATTATGTACAAAGATTTGGGACTTCTACCGCAACAAGTAAATGTTTGGGACCGACGCTGCTATTACATATAAAGGTTTGGGACTTCGGCCGCAAAAATTAAAGGTTTGGGTGTAATCTGCAACAAAATGAAAGGTTTGGGACCGCGGTCGCAATTTTCCCTTAATAAATGTGAAGAAATTACAGTCAAAACTGACCTTAAACAAGTTTTGAATTAGTTTCTTCATTCAGTTGTGAGTATTGAGGAACAAAGAGCGAAAGTTAAAATCATGTTCGTTATACTAGGACAATTGCCTCTAGTATGCACGACAGTTCTATAGTGTAAGAATATTTCAATTTCCCATTTTATGCATGTTCTCTTTATGACTATTGAAAGATCTTGATCTTAGTGCATTGGGATTTAATTTGCTGAAATATATGTCACGTCTCCACTGGACTCGATTCCTGGCTCCGCCTTGCCCCGCCCTTACCTCCACTAGACTCGATTCCAGTTCTTGTGTACTTGTATTTCCATGACATTTATGACCAATTTTAAGATCCTCCACTTGACCATTTTGTGATTTATTCTGTTTACAGTTTTTGAATACAACCCTCAATTTCACAATGTGATGCAAGTTACACATGCTGAGTACAGATCATGCAATGCATCTTCTCCCATTTCTACTCACACAACTGGAAATGACTCTATAACCATCGATACTCGTGGCCACCACTACTTCATATGCGCCGTCCCCGGTCACTGCCAGGCTGGACAGAAAGTCGATATCAATGTTCTTCGCACTCCTTCAGTTGCCCCTTCACCTTCTGCATCATCCGTTCCTGTTCCCGTTCCTACTGTACTCGCACCTTCTCCCAACTATGCAGCTCCATTCTCGGCTTCAAATAAGCCTTTCGAGAAATTCGGATGGCTATGGCTTGTTTTGCAGATTTTATTCGTGGTTTATTAAAAGCTGAATAGAATGGTTTCATTTGAATTTACGAGTTATCCGGATTATCAGATGGTTGGTGAAAACATTTTGGCACTTTACTTATAGTGTTAGTAATGTTCTCAGTATAAGAGTCATAATAAATTTCATTCCAATCAGTTCTTGTTTTCTATGTACTGTAGTGGCAATTTTTTGTTATTTGAATATAATTTCATAAGAGAACTTTACCTGAAATTGAACTTTCCTTCTTCTTCTTTCTCCAAATTGGTACATATATCACAATGCTAGTGTTCTTCACTCCACACTATGCACTACTCAATCAAGAGAGTAAAATGAAGAATAGATAAATCTTACACGTAGTCAATACTGTACCGTGTACTAAAGATTGCTCATGGCATTTCCAGTCGAGAAACTTAAAAGCAATATTCTTAAACAACTTGGAGCTGGGCGTTCTTTTCGCAGTATTATGGATATGAAGATAATGTTCAATGTCGTTTGTGTATCTTTTTGATCTCTTTTCCTTCCATTCATCATATTGGCTTTGACCAATTCGAGGTGAAAAATGGGATTGGCTGTGGCTAGCGAAAAAAGGTGGGAAGATACTAGAGCCTTGGGGTACACACACTTCTTTATTTTTGTTGGTGGGAAATATTAAAAGTTGTTCACTATAGTGTATAGTCCTCTAAGTAGTGGTGATCAAACGTGCACTTATCGTGTCAATTTGAATTATAAAGTCCAAAAGAGAAAATATTCTGTCTTTTGCAAGATACTTGGAAAGGAAATATTACAACTCAAATAAACTCAATGCTGAATTTAAAGAACCTTAGAGAATTAACGCCACTGCCTAGTGCATATATCTTCATGCATTCGAACAAAACTTATACAGAGTTCAGTCCTTATTTGTCTAAACCTCTGCTTATTGGAATGGAGAAATTTAAGTTGAGAGAATATAACTTCACCTCTTCATCCCTAATGCAGGTTTAGGTCATCTCATAGTTCTTGACTACTTCTTTACCCATAAATTTCTTCCAAACTGGATGCTTTTTCCAGACCCTCTCAACCATGGAATCAATCGGGACGCCCTTTGTCTCCGGTAGCAGGAACACGACAAACAGTCCCATGATCAATATCCATACAGCGAAAAAGAAGAAAATATATGCGCGCATGTTACACAACATAGACAAGAATGCCTGAGCTATGATGAAAGTGAAGAGCATGTTGGCGCTAACGGCAAATGCAAATCCTGCAGTTCTTGTCTCCAAAGGGAATGTTTCGCTCGGTATTAGCCAACCCATTGGACCCCATGACCATGCAAAAGACATAACAAACAAACACACAAGAACCACCACAACAGCTGCAAGTCCTTTATCAAGTGAACCAGTAGGCTTCAAATGAATAAGCAGAATTGATCCAATTGCCACCTGCATTCAATCACAAGAAAAATTAGTAATACCAAAACTTGCTGATATTTGAGTAGAGCAGAAGCTTTTAAAGATGTTAATGGTTATATAGTGTTCATGCACTTGATCCACTAGAATTCTAGCAGCTTCAGATGTCTAAATGGCTGTTGCACGACAATGTCTGTATGATGAACGCAGTAGAATGAGATGATAAGATGGAAATGTGGGGACACTAACAGAAGATACAAGAATCAAAACTATATGGCAACAAGTCGAGGGGGCATCGGTTGAAGATAAATTGGGGGAAGACGATTTAGGTGGTTGGGATATGTTTTGCGTTGACTTAAAAGACTGATGTTCATAGAAGTTATGCAATCTACAGGGACAAGTAAAAAGAGGGAAGGGTAGACTAAAACTAATATGCCCTTATTTAGGTGCTGGATCTAGTTGCTTTAGATCTAGAAATAAACCAAAGGAAAAAAAAGATTCATGTAGTCGACCTCGACATGTGATTATAGGCATGTAAATTTGAATAAAAAGTAAGATAGAATTTATGCATATATTTGTAGATAATATGGAAAATATCATCACCATGCTTATGAACATTTGCACGCAAGCTTGAAGAAGCAATTTCCTCCTCCCGACCCTATCAACAGCAACAATTGAGACAATAGTGCTCAAGACATTGACAATTCCCGTGATAACAGCAGACAGCAGCGAACTATCACTCTTAAATCCGACCGTTTGGAACAGAACTGGTGCATAAAACATGATGGCATTAATTCCTGTGAACTGCTGAAAAACTTGCACTGAGATACCGATGATCAGTGGAGGCATGCTGGCACGCTTGAAGAGTTTCTTGTAAGGATGCTTGACTTGCCTTGCTATCTCACATGCCAGTTTGATCATTTCGAGTTCAGATTCGACATCATCCACACCCCGGATCTTCCTTAGTGCTTCTTTCCCTTCAAACTCTTTTCCTCGTTCAATGAGGCTTGAAGGTGTCTCAGTGATGATAAAGGAACCTATAAAGAGGAAGATGGCTGGAACCCCGGCTAGACCTAGCGCAATCCTCCATCCATTCGGATGAATTGATGCAACAGCATAATTCACAAGATTAGCTACAAGAATCCCTATTGTTACAAAAAGCTGAAACAGAATATTGACAGCTCCGCGGTGTTGCATTGGTGCAACTTCTGATAAAAACAGAGGAACTGACTGCATTTTCAGATATAATTTCAATTATAACTGCGAAAAAATTCTAAACTTTCATAACCAAATTCACAAAAAACTATACGAGAAATACAATGACAATGAAACTTACTTACCTCATTGCCAAATCCAACTCCAATTCCAAAAAGAATTCTTCCAATGATTAACAGGGCTTTGTTTGGAGCTAATCCACTTACTATAGCTCCAAGAATGAAGAGTATCGATGCCAAACCGATTGTAGGTTTCCTACCAAGCAAGTTGCAGGTCTTTGAGGCTCCAAAGCTTGCAACAAGGGCAGCAAGGTATAAAGAAGATGTGAAAAGCTGAAGCAATTGATCATCATATTTGCAATAATTGTTTTCCTTGGCATGCAATTTCCTCTCGTATATAGCTGGAAAGAACTTTTTCAAGAAGTCATCCATGGAAGTCACTCCACCTAAAACCACCACAAAGAAATAATTTCAATTATGAGATAGATAATAAGCGAAATGAAATAAAAACAAGCAAATCACACACAGATTTGTAGTAATTCAATCTCAGAATGAGAGCTACGTCCACTTGATGTTGCAGATCTTTCCTTATAATCAAGTAAACTACGAAGTTTTCTCACGCCTCTTATCACCGAAAAAATAAAATAAAATAAAATTGGGTTGATCTGCATTCAAGGAAATAATCAAAAATACGATTGAGATCTACGAAGTGCAAAAAAGCAATCTTGTAACCTTCCTACTTGCGGATCATAAATCATTCTCCTAAATAATAGCCAATATGCGCATAAACACAAACATGCTAGATATTTTAGGACAATGAAGAAATACAATTTGGATCCATTTCATTGATGGATCGATCCAAAGCATGTTCTTTATACTGCAAATTATCGATTATGTCACAAAAAGCAATATATTGCAACACGTAAATGGCATCTTCTGTAGAAGGCTAAAATCTTATTTATTACAGAGTCTGATACTATATATCAAGCAAGCACTAAATCGGTAAGCAGTACGCATATACCTGAAATTCCAATATCATAGCCAAACATTAGCCCACCAAACGCAGCAAATATCCAACATGCTATAACATAAACAGTAATTTTCGATCCGAAAGGCTGCTGCCCAGAACCGGACGGCTCGACGCTTGTCATCTTTTCGCCTGCTAAATGTCACTCAAACCTAAATTTTAACAGAAAAGAAATGAGAGTGTATCTCTGTATTTGTCTGATTCTTGGAATGTAAAATAAACTAGCGATTTGTCCACATTTCAAATAAACAAAAATTCTTCCAACTTTATCATCTCACAAGTAAGTGGGTTATATTTTCTTGACTTCCTTTTTGGAAAGGTGCTGAAAGTAAACTCATCATTGGATAAGTGAATGGATTTGAAATATATAGAAAGTTTAGTGAGTGATTCCACTAATGGGGCATGGCCATAAAACCCATGAGAGAATAAAGAGGATCTAGTTTCTTTGGATACCACAGAACTACAGGTCTTAAGGAAAGAAACTACTTCTTGAAATCGATTATCTTGTTTTTTAATCCCCCTAATGTTTAGGGAGAAAATCAGGCAAATGGCACCATTACAACGTAAAAAGGAGAGGATATGATTGATCAGACGTTGTCATGTTTCCTAATTCTGTCTGAATTTAGACCATGCAAGAGACAAAATCAAGACTTTCGAACTTGACACGAGTTACTTGTATCTTTTATGACTTGCAACTGGCAGACGAAAATGCTGAGAAGATTTTAACACCCCCCCCGTTTTTAAATTTAATTAAGTCCATCAAGTGTTATAATACTTATAATGAAAGTAGCACTTCCATAACTATGGCGGTAAATTTCAGGTCTCCCTCCCCTTTGTTCACTATTTATTTTATTTTTTTTATGACTTGAGTATTCAAGCTTCGCTCGACTAATCCCGAGAAGTGCCGGTTTTCCCTTTGTTCGCCACCCAGGTGAATTGGATGCGGAGGTCACAATTTATACACACTTGGGCCGAACATTCAGGAAGCAATTATTCTCCCTGTGGTCTGTGGACCACCCTTTACGACGTGCAGACGAGACTCTCAAAGGGGTGACAAAGTGCACCATGACTTTGTCTCCACAAGATATCTATCTTCCCACATAAATGCCGCCTTCCAGTTGCTGCGAGGATTCCAACCTCCGATATTCCGTAAAGAACCCTTTTACTTTACCACTACCGCTACGCCATGCCGGCAACGGCATTTGTTCACTATTTTTCTTATCAATAAACATGGTAAACCTAGTCCCATTAGGTCTAGGTAGTTTTAACTTCAAAAAGAAAATAAAAAACTAATTTAAAATGAGTTTACAACACGCTAGGTATATAGAGGAGCCAAATTAATAAAAATATAAAAAACTCATATAATTATAATTACATATCATAACAATCCCCTATTTTCATTTATCCTTTCCTCTTCTAAATGGATCATCATACTATCATAGCCAAGCACCGAACAATTATATTAACCATTTTCATTATCATTTTTTCCTGCCCCTTTGATGTCATGACCTTCGAGCATTTATAATTTAGTCCGCTCAATTTGAACCACTCTTTGACACGTTTAGAGTATAATTCGTGAAATGCACAAATTTTATATTTGTGAGAGATTAATAATTGGCTTGTTTGAGAACGTTTTATAAATGTTTTAAATAATAAATAGATACAAAAATAGGCGATGAATAAATGTGTAGTACTTGTTATTCCCACAAAACAGTGTGGATAAAAATTGATTTGATCAATTATAAATAGTTCATAAACATTAGCTCGAACATAATTTATGGTTAGAGTACTCGAGAGAGTTGATTGATTTTTCACGCAAAAAATGAACAAATATTGAATAATTTAATCATTTATTGAGTTCTTAAGATATTTGAAAAAGATATCTTAAAAAGTGAACAAATGAATTTGAGTGTCATATCCACCAACAATATTTATTCACTTTTTAAGGTATCTTCTTAAGGTTTTAACAAAAGAAAGGTCAAAGGTCATAATCCTAGCACTCAATGAATGAATGTGAGTGTCATATCCATTAACACCTAATCCTATGCCAAAGGACTATAATGTGTGTTTTAGTTACACCAACTACTTACCCAAATACTTTATTCTAATTGTTCGTTGAAAATCATTGATGATATTATTGTAAGTGATTTGATGGGATTAGAAGGAAATTGATATTTGTCGATTATTTTGGGCTGAATTACTAATATTGATATCATCAATTATAATCAGTGTACCTCCATTAATGATTATCGACACCAATATTATAAATGATGTGATTGACAATCATCTGTATCATTGACAAAACTTTATTCTTTCATTATTTTTAAATTTTTTTCTTGATAGAATATTATATATGGGTAACTTACGATATCTTTTTATTTTTTTATATTAATGTTGTATAAGATTTTGTTTTTTTTTTTCCTAACTGTTAAATCATTATTGACAAAAAATTTTAACAGTCATATTATGTGTACATTGAGTTGACATTTCGGATGACACCTCCCTCACATGAGGTGGTGCCCGAATGTCATAAAATAATCGCGAGCCTCACACATGTGAGGAGAGTGTTATCTTTCGAATGTATAAATAACATTATTGATTTTCTCATATTAGTGTCATGACCTCGACTTTATTGTTTTTATTAAAAGATTTTCTAAGTACCCTGAAAAAAGGTATCGGCACTTGAAGTTGCAGAAAGCTGTCTTCATTAGTTTCTAGGTTATAAAACATCATCGTTGCATGATCTTCCCAGGGAATTCTCCGTATATTTGAATTCCTCAGAGTGTCTACTATTAGTGTCCACGACCAAAAATAAAAATAATTAACCTTAAGGAATTCAAATAAGTAGAAAATCGACTTCTTCAGTTGTTTATCGGATGATTATACAATTCTAGCAATTTCATGTAAAAAATTCATTTTTCATCAAATATAACTTCATTTTACAAACCGTAAAATTATGGTAAAACTACCCAAATTCTACGAAAAAGTAAATCTCTACTCTGATATCAACTGTAATGACCCAAATTTCTATTCCGAATCGTTACTAATAATTATTACATTTTGTGCACAAACTAAAAAGACATTATACAGATAGAGTGAAATATGAATTATCTAAAACTTCAATATTTTCCTTATTTTTTAACTACACATTTCCCATCAATATACTATTCAAAAATGCATTTTTTCTGGCAAAAATGAGACTCAAAAATATTTCAAACAGTTCCTTAAAAGTCCAAAATAATTTCTAATGCTTACTCTCATTATTAGAAATATTATTTTTGAATTAAATCATACTTTAAAAAATCTTGAACCCGAGAAAGGATGATTTTGTCCTCCTCGCAGAAATTATCTCGATCTTTCTAAAAACTTCCAACAAGTCTATATAAGGTTAATATATCTGAAGTCATTCATATAATTATTATATCAATTCTATATCTATAGTCATTCATATAATGGTCATATCAATTCTATTTTCCCTAAAAATGATTGTTTCCCTATTTATACTCCAATCCTCAAATTTTCAGCAAGTTGCATGTTGGTCATTCACTTTCCTTGAAATTACAATCTAACCTTAAATGATTTTATATCATGCAAATTTATTTATCATATAATATCTTAAAAAGTTTCGGGGTATTACAAGTAGTGGTGTTCTGTTGTTGCAATTTCAAGGGTTTGGATTGCAAATTTGGGGGTCGTGCTGTGAGCAGGAGTGGAAGAGTTGATGGTGTTTGATTTTTTGGGTTTGGATTACAAATTTTTATCCGTAAGATTGATATTATTTCATGCATGATTGCATGTAAAACTGTTTCACAAACTTCCATCCACAGCATGATATGCTGGTTATTTCTGTTTCTTGTCTACAATTTAAAAGATTCAACAAAAGACGAACAAATCCACATCTGCTTTACATCAAGCAATACGGGGGAGTAATTTCCGATATAACAACGAAAAGAAGACATGTAGGTGGATCTGACTCATATCGGTTTTTGGGGAGAGAACTCCGATGCTGAAAGCTTAGCATACATGTCTGCTATTTCTTTAGCAAAATATGCTTTTGCTTGTGGCCTTTTAATCTGGGAGAGAAAGGACAGTACAAAATCAAAAGTTTTCAGATTAGCTTTGCATCTTATAAAATGATAATGCACCGATGAATTGCACTTGCCTTGAATGTTGGAGTGAGCAACCCGTTCTCGAGAGTAAAAGGTTCAAGCACCAGAGTCACGGCTTTTGCAAATTCAAAACCCCTCAGCTAGAGATTGACATGCATCAGAGAAAACGTAAAAAGAAAACACTGACGCATGACTACTGAAGAAAATACAAATGCATGACTATTCTTTAGACATGCTTGGTATGGTCAACTGGACAAGATGAAATAGATTAGCAAATGAGTCTCACGTGTGTCTCTTCCTTTATCATGTTCCATACATGTTATTCATGGCACTTATATGTTCGGTAAGGTGGACTAGATAAAACTAGACAGTAGTATTGAGCAAGAATAAGTAAGAATTGTATGTGTTGCATTGTCTTATATTGCATACCAAACATGACCTCGATCCATAGCTAATACCTGAGATTCCCTTGCAACTGCATCCATGTCAGCCAGGACTGCAGCCGTTGCTCGTGGATCAACACATAATTGTTTCAAGTCTTCATACTGCACTCAGCACGCGGAAAAATCCCACATAATTGGTGGTGGAAAGAGAAATGTCATAAAACTCCCTAAATATATTATTAGGAGATCACGCATTTGCCACGTGACCTTCTATTCCAATCACATTTTTTTCCAATACATATGAGGAGTTCCTAAGATTCAAAAAAGATGTAACTGTTCTTCATGATACTAATGAAAAGTGTCAAATATCAGCCCAATCTAAAAATTTAAGAACCTCAGTTCCCATATTTATTTCATGTTGCGCCAATTACAATCACAGAATCCTTAAGCCATCATTTAGTATGAGAATCAGAAACTCGCATTTTTCTCGAGGATTTTGCAAGATACTTCAGCAAAAACCAAAGGGGGTCATAACCTTTGAAGCTATAAATGTGTGTGGCGAAAATAAAAAATAAATAAATCAAGCTTTGAACTTGCCTCGATGCCTTCAGCTGCTGCCCATTTTTTTAGCATGTCATGATCTACCGAAATGATAGCAACAAGTGAAGGCTTCAGGCTGTCACCTACCAACGCAAACATGCAAAAAGTAAGTAGTTTGTGTGTATTTGTGTGTGTGTGTGTGTTAAGGGATATATACCACGTCGATAAACATGAGATAATAACCAACACATAAGGGCTTGGGATACTCTCTAAAAAAGGTCGACCTTTTACGGAATCCCAACTCTTAAAATGGTATTAGAGCCCATTAAACTCAAACATACAATTCAACCTCACTAAAACTCAAACAAGCTCAAGAATTTCAAAATCAATACTCTCAAAAGAGCCACTATTTTGTGGGGCATATTAAGGGGTAAATTTCAATTGAATAAACACGAGATAATTAACAAACAAATAACATGTTGAGCTACTCCTCTTAATAAGATTAACTTTTTTAAGAAGAAAACCCTAGTCTTTAGAGAGAGAATTTTGCAACATTTTATTCTTACCATACACTAAACACTGTGCAACAAACTTGCATTTTGCATATACATTTTCTATTTTCTCAGGCGCAATGTACTCCCCCTGTGACAACTTGAAAATGTTCTTTTTCCTGTCAAGTGAAAAACAGTAATTAACAATTTCCATAATATTCTCATCAGACTGAGGTTAAATACAACAAAATTACTAAAATTCTCACAAGAACACAAAAATAGTGACCTAATGTTGGTTAGCATACATTGAACTATTAATCAACAATATTCTATCTTAATATTGGCCATAGGCATAAAAATATCCCTCCTTGAATTTCTTTGAGGTTAATCGTCATCAGTTATGTTCTTATTCTTTGACAATTTCCTCAAAAGCAATCACCAAATGTCGAGTTCTTACCTATCAATTATCTTTAATCTCCCGCCAGGCAACCACAAACCTATATCTCCAGTATGAAGCCATCCCTGCTCATCAATTACTTCCTTCCTGGAAAAGTTTATTGCATCATCATACGCCTTTGACAACATTAGACAGTATTTAGGAGAAAAAAATAAATAAAATCTTATACAAAATATTGTCCAATCTAGTCCAATACTACATCCTAAACATGACTTTACGTGAGTGCAAATATTGAGATCAACATAACAAAAAGAAAAGCATGTACGTCTGGACTTCATCTCTGTAGTAGCCTTGGAACACTATGGGGCCCCGTACACATATCTCACCACGAGGATGGGGCTGGTCCTCCGCAGTATAGTTCATTTCTGGAACGTCTACAAGCTTTATTTCTGACATAGAAAATGAAATATATAGTTTCTTCAGTGTAAGTGCTGCATTATTGAAAGAAAAAATCAATTTTTATATGCACAATCACGCACCACAAGAAGGGCAAGGAGCCCCGACATGACCAGATAACATATCGGTCTCGTCCATAATGCTTATAACACAAGAAGCCTCTGTCAATCCGTATCCTTCTACAACTATACAACCAAAGCACCTGAAAGCCCAAACTTGTCAATTTGCCAGCAAACAATTTCAGCAAATGACTGCAGTAGAATTCCATGCTAGTGTAGGGAAAATTGTACCATTGGTCCATGATTAGCCTGAGTAGCAAGTTGGTCCTAACCTTTCATCATAGTTGCACAAGGAGTCAGCATGGAAGCCGTCTGAAACTCCTTTAAATTGTCATTTTCCACCACGTGTCTAACTTTATGAAGCCAGGTTTGTTTTCCAACTTGAGTTGGGCATTTTGAGAAGCGAGGCATCTTTCATGAGGGTCGCATGGCAATTTAACAAAGTTTTGGCCGAATTCATCATTGGAGACTGATTGTGCAACTATAATGAACGATGGAAAACCAATTTGCTACTCTGAGCAATAGGTGGGGGACCAATGATGCAGTTTTTCCTGCTATTACATACAAGAGATTGAACTTACACTCGCAGAAAGTCCATGACTTCTGGAGACAAGGGTGAGGCGCCTGAAACCATGTTACGAACATGACCTCCTAGCATTCCCTTTATTTTATTGAATACCAACCTGTCCCACATGGGTGACGGTTTCTTGCCTGAAACAATCACGTGAATCTATTATTATAAATGGCCAAAGGGTGAGAGTGGGATAGTATAAATGTGTCACCTCATTAAAAAGATTAAACTGTTAAAGGGGAACACATTTATTCACTGAAAATAAGTCTTACAACAAGTTCTTTGTAAGAGACAGCTGACAACAGCAAATCCAGGCCACAAAAGAGCCTAGCATGCTAGATGCATGTAAATATAGCAACCAGACTATATTACCATTAAGTATTGCTTGCTTCTTAGCTTTGTAGGCGGCAGTAAATAGTCTTTCCTTGAGACCACCGGATGATTTCACAGCATTCATAACTCTGTAACAAAGCATTCGGTTGGATTTTCGCATGAGTAGAAATCGCGGTATTAAAACACAGTGAACATGTTTACCCATCATATATCCGATTGTACAACCGGGGAACGCTGCAAAATATAGTTGGTTTTAGAACTGCCATGTCCTCCAATAATTTCAAGTTGTCCTACAAATGGAAAACAATTATCAGTTATTAATGTTCAATGACAACAATCTCTTCTAGTAATCATCCATGATAGCAATAAAATTTCTGATTTACTAATCAAGCCTCTTTCCCTGCAAATACATATGGTGAGCTCTAACTATTGCAAAAAATATAAATAAATAAAATTATTTTCCGGCACAACAATGGAATTTTGATTATTGAATAAACAAGAAAGGCTAAAAGTTTCCTTCATGCATACAGAAATGATTACCCCGTCCACCCCACCAAAAAAGAAATAAAAAAATATTTATTAATTTGGAAACGAAGAATCATACTTTTCAGCAAAAATGTTTTAGGAAACAAGAATTCGAGACGTACTGAACACAGAACAATTAATAGAGAAGGAATTACGTAATACAATGTTTTACTGATATTATGTTTTATTTTGGGATAGAAAAACTCGCCCCAAGTTATATTTTAACAAAAGAAAACAAGAAAGTGTGTGAAGTTGAGTTTCATACTCCTTGATAAAATCCAGATGCTCCTCCAAAGTATACCACTGATATTTGGTTAGCCCGTTCATAGATGTGTGCCAGAGGAAGATATGATATATAACTGGCAAGAAGGGAGTGAAATTTTACTCTAACCTGGAATATTGAATGAAAAGCAGAATGTGTCTGATTGAACTAATAACAAAACAAATAGGGTGTTCAGACTTTATACTCACAGATCAGAGGGATATAATTTGATGCTCATACTTGCACCAGCAACATTGGCAATCAAATTTCCGTGGGTCAGCACAGCACCCTTTCCATACATAATTACCAAAATAATTAAACATTTAATCTACTTAAATTGGAAAATTAAAAATCTGATAGCCTCTAAAAGAAAATACTTTTGGTGTTCCAGTTGTACCACTTGTGTAGCATACTGTAGCAACATCGTCAGGTCTTGGTGGGCAGAAGGATTCGAGGCTGCTGAGGCCCTACAAGAAATTTTTACGACAACTCAATACAAAAAACTACAAAATAAATATTGCTTCATGAGCAGAAGAGAAATGCTTAGGAAACTGTGTGGTGTAATTCATCAACGAATAACTTGAAAAGTAAAACGGATAGAGAATTAGAGATAACTCACTTGACTAAGTAATTTTGAGTATGATATAACCTCAACTCCTATTACCGATGGAAGTGATGGCATTTGGCTATCAATCCCTCCAACCACCTAAAAAACAGTGAAGCAAATGAAGCACTTGGAGGGGAATTTCATTCTTTTATCAAGAAAATGGAGAGTTAGCATCATATGTGCGTCATGACCAAAAAGACAGGAAGGGATAAGTGTGCTCACAACAATGAGATGTACGGTAGGAATCTCAGATAAGAAGCTCAGCAGCTGCAACTCAAGTGCAAAAATAAGAAAATACAACCGTCATTTAAAACCAAAAAAAAAAGGGGAGAGAAAAAGAACATAAAGCTAGAGATTGTCCAATTATGCCATTGTGCTATTTTCTACTTATCTAGAAATGATTACCAATGAAAATTTTGTTCACTATCAAATCGCATCCATAACAGACTCTAAAATTCTTGACAACATTAAAAGATGGATTTAAAATCACGTAAAGATTGTATAATAACTTCTGAGCTTATGGAAAGTTGTATCTTTTGCATTATACCTTCCTAAATGACCAAGAGAAACAAAAAATAATTAGAATACTAAAACTCACAATGTTTAATGTTTGAGGCACACAAAATATAGCTTGTGCAGCGGCATGATTCACAATATATTTGACAGCATCTGGACCTAAATAGTGAACCAAAAAATAATTCTACATTATGGTTTCTGACCATATGGAGAAAAACGACTTCAAAATTCTCAGATAACTGACCAAGAGTATCATATAAAGGAACTGAAATGAGTGAATAAGCAGAGCAGGCATGATCAACAATCATCCATTCGGGTCTGTTGATAAAATATAGTCCAACACAGGATCCCTGTAAACAGAACCATCAGATAAAAGGAATATCGGCAACTAATAGTAATTCAATTTATATACGAATGAAAAATTCAGAGGCTTTTACGTTTAAAAAAGGCCTTTCAATACAAGAACTATATTTAATCCATAAAAAGAATATGCGAAGAATAAAATATTTTTGCTTGAGTAGCTTGCCTTTGCTATCCCGTGTTTAACCAGACCTGAACCAAGAGCTGATCGTGCAGCACCTGCTTCCCCATAGGTCATCCACTGATATCTATAAAATGACACCAAATGGATAAAGCATATTTAAAAAATAGAGAAGTTATTTAGTTGAAATGGAGACTTACTCCCCTACGGTCCCATCTTCCCGAACTCGAGTACCTAAGTATTTATGGTCGCGGAATATTTCAACTGCATGCCTATGCTCAGGAAGTAGAAAAACATGGTTTGATGAATGTTATTGAAAGAAAGAGTATCTACTTTAAAGGACAACTAAGGTGAATTTAACCAAATGTATTCAAGGTTACTTACACAAAATTATCATGCAAGGTAGCAATCTTAGGATGATCAACAAATCTGTTCACAAGCTTAAAAGGTTCACGCCAAGATCTGTAAAAGAACTGTATCTTGGTTATGAAGCCAAAAAAAAAAGCAGATGGAAAAATTTATAAGTAGACAGTTTCAACCTGTAAACATTCCATTTCCCAGTCTGCAATTTCTCCGGAAGCACTACACTATACCCTTCCTCTGCCAATACCGGCATTAAATATTAATGCAGGGAAGAAAAACAGGGACTTCTCTTATGAACGGTTAATGATATTTAAACAAGCATAACGAAGCAATAGGAATATACAATTTTTCACATGAGAAAATTTGCAATGCAATGAATATTCAATTTAAGACAAACGGTAGCATAAATTTACAATTACATTATGTAGACAGAGACGGCCATGGAGAAGTAATCAGTGCTTAAATCAGTTAAATGGTTGAGAAATTATATATGAATAACCCTTCTGACACCCACATCAAAATTACGTAAACTGTTTCTCCCTTCCTCTCGTTGTCGAGATTGAAGATTAGATAGCTCAATCCTCAAGCAGTAGAATTTAATAGTCATGACACAGTATGCACTTTTTTATCACGATTGCCAAAATTATGAAATACAACACTCAATTGAACTAAACAGGGTCGGTATCCCAAACTTATCTAACGTCTGCTACATACTATTCTTCCACTCAATCAAGGATCACCTTCAAAGTTAAACCCAAACAATATGGATATTAGACTTCAAATGATGTTAAACTTAATATTTAGCCTCTGTAGTTCAATAAAATTTTACATAAAGAGCGTAACAAATGTTCAATGGTCTTGAGTTACTTGCAGCTGTTGCGTATTTAATACAAGGATCAAATAAGCATAAAAAAATGACATGATTGTTGGTGGGAATGCCTTGCAATAGCTCGAACATTCGAACTGAACCCTAAAAATAAGTTTAAGTAGATTCCAGATCTGTGTTTGACGCTATCCTTGTGAAAATATTTGTCCCTCCCAAATGAGTGCACAAGGATCCAAACTTGCTCTAGGATACAATGGAATGAAGAAATATGTTTATCGGCATTTATGCACCAACCAAATACTAGCACGCCAGCAAAGTAGAGGCTGAAGAGCCTGTTTGCCACAGCCGGACGCAGCTAAGGAGGCTGCAAGTTGTGGCCTCGGCTGGCCGGACATTTCAGACCTCCGCTCCTATGCCCCACCTTTTAGTTCCTTGTTCTTAACACGAACCAATGACTAAAGATATGTGCTACAATGTCAAAACGACATTATTAGGAAATTCCCAACAATGATTCATGCTTCCTTGTGTACAATTTCTTTCACTTCCACAGTTGCGTATTTTATATGAATCAACCTAATACTCAAATAATTATGGACAAGCAAGAACACAAAAATTACATCGAGCAACTTGGCCATTGAATATTTGTGGACCAACTATAATCATTCACAGTTCCCTCCTCTCCCCACTAGTCTTTTTTACTCCGCCACTGCTTGCATAGTCTCAACCTTGTGAAATAGCTATTCAAGCCGCGGTTAACAGTATGTGGAACTATTTGCTTGAATTCCTCAAACCTCGCTCCGTAAACGTCTTATACAACAGAAAAATCAATTTTTTATAAATTTGAAGCCAGCTACGTAAATCATTTTTCGCCAATCTGTTCAGCTTCAATGTCTAATAATGTTCTAAAATTCTTGATGGAGCAGTATTACAAAAAACCAAGATCGTTTACAAATTACAACCCAACAGCAAAAATTCACTACTCCAAGCACAACGTGAGAAAATTCTCACGAGCCATTATGTGTTAAAGAACAATAACCATTATCACTTTGCTGGATGGAATTAGATGAAATAGCTTGAGAATTGTCACGTGAGATGCACCATTTCACTCTACTTGGAGGCTTGAATAATCCTCATCGTGATATCATAAAAGAGAATGTTGTAAACAATTTTCTCCCATTTACTTAAAATTTATTACCAATCCAGACGTCCAATCAATTTATCTTCGCTTGGTACCTACTGCACATCCTGCTTAATGAGATAAGAGTCAAAATGAAATTTGGACTACCCATTTTATTCCTCATTTTACTTTTATTTGGGTTATTTACTTATTTAAAGTCACAACAACTCTCATGTGAATCACCAGATAAACAGCAAAACAAAACAAATGTGACCTTTATACACGCATAACCTCCAAAAAACACACACGAGAGAAAAAGGATACCGGAAAAGAACTCGCCGTCGGTGGGGTGGCGGCGGAGAAGCGGTGGTCGATCCCCGGCTGTGGAAATCAAATGATTCCGTACTATTTGAAGGCGTCTTTCGGCTCTAGAATCCATGTTTTTAGTTCAAATGGTGGAGTAATCACAATGTTTTATCGTACTTTCAGAAATTCCCAGGCTTAAATTTGTCCGAATAGGTCAAGAAAAGTGTGCAGACAACTACATTTATCCGCAAACTGGAGTAACTGACACACAAAAATACATACACGACAAAGAAATCGATGGGTTCGAAGTTCCACGCCGGCGTGAACACTTACACGTACATTGTATGCGTTCTGTAGGAAAAATGGACTGTGCTACATGTAAACTACATGGTTTACACAATTCTTTACACCCAACTCGCATGGAGGGGATCCACGAATATTTTATTGTGTGTGGGCCCCCTTCATGTGAGAAGTGAGAAGGGTGTAAAAGATTGTGTAAAGGATTATGTACATTTAGCATAATTCAGAAAAAATAATATCAAACATTCTAATTGTACATAATTTTTATCCATAAGGTTAACATAATACTCACATGGGGTAAGACCCATGTTGTCGGACCCACAAACCCCATATGAGTATTATGTGAACCCCAATATACCCTGAACACTTCTTAAATAATATTATTAGTCCTCAACTTATTGCTCGATTAGCAAATTAGTCTACGATCTTTAAAATGAAGAAAGTTATTTTACTCTCCATGGATACCCAATCTATTTTCGAGTTGTATATATGTCCCTATTTTTTAATAAAAAGCAAGTTCGTTCTCAATATTTATCTATAGTCCCCATTTGGTTCAACTTAAAAATATATTAAAATCTAAGTTACAGTTAACAATTAAGTTTAACCACATATTTTATTGAATTCACAATTTTTCAACCACTTATTTCATGAAATTTTATCAAAATCTACTAAAATTTTTAATTTTTATCTCAACCAAACAAGGACATGATTTCATCTCTATTGAGTCTGAGGACTATTATTATTAAAGGCTTATTTGTCAAATAATTTATTTTAAATTATTTTCAACCACACATTATATGAATCCCACAACTTTTTATCAAAATTTAATCACATTTGAAAAAAAAATAAAAAAAAAAAATCATCTTTCACTCGAAAAATCATGTGCCAAACAAGGTTTGAGACAATTGATTAAGGATATCAATGTTACTAGGGTACATTTGATAGCCTAGAAAATGGGTGGAAAAAGGAAAATATTTTTTAACTTTAGCCAACTAAGGGTGTTTGATAGCACAAATTCTTCTGGCAAAATGTTTTCCAACTTTTTCTATGTACAATCATTTGATGCACAAAAACTTAATTTTGTTTTCCCACCTATTTGGTGGAAAGCATTTTCCACCTTTTTTGTTTTTGCAATGGGAACAAATTCTAGATACAATGGTAAAAAAAATTTCACTTTTATTGACAACTTCCATGCAAAACAAAGTCAAACGAAGAATATTCGGTATGGTAAATTTTTTTTTTTCAAATTTTTTTTTCAAATTTTTTTTTTTTTTTAATTGGAACACATTTTAGATCCAATGGTAGAAAAAATTATCAATTTAGCAAAAAAAATTCAAACAAATTATATTCGGTTTGGTAAATTTTTTTTTTTTAAATTTTTTTTTTCAAAATTTTTTTTTTTACAATTGGAACAAATTTTAGACCCAATGGTAGAAAAATTATCACTTTAATGGACAAATTCCATAAAAAAACGAAGTCAAATGGACACCAAACTTTCAACATTTTTCATGAAAATCATACCAATCAAACACAATTAATTACAATTTCCAATAAAACATTTTCTAAGAAAATCAATTCCCTGTAAAACATTTTCTTTCCACCAATTTTCCACCCTTACAATCAAACGGACCCTTAAAGTTACATGTGATATAGGCTTCATTACTTATACACGCTCAGTGTGTGTATCTATCTGCATGTAAGATTGATGAGATTTTGGTGGCAAGCGTCTAAAGTTTGGTGTAAAGTGTCGGTGAGGTTAGGGGTGTAAGCGGTCCGGATTTACCGATTTTTGACAAATTTTCAAACTAAACTGTTCCAATCGGTTTGAGAAAAACTCAAACCTAAACCAAACCGTTTTGATCGGTTTGAAAAAAACTTCAAACATAAACCTAACGGTTTGGTCCGGTTATAAACCGCCGATTTCGCGTATATTTTTTTGTCTGTCTAGTGTCTACTTAATATATATTTATATCTTACTGGCAATAAATCTAAAATAAACTAAATATAACTACTATAAATTTAAATACCAACAAAATCAAAGTAAAATCACAATAAACTAAAATCACAGTCATATAATTTTAGAGGCAATTTAGACGGTTTCCATGTTCAAGAATCAAGAACACGCATCTATGTAACTAAAATCACAGAACTCCGAAAATAGAAATAATCTACAGGTCACAAAAAATCACGAATTTGGGGATTTTCAAAAATCGAGATGACAAACTATGTTTAGTAATAATTTAAAAGGTTTCCATGTTCAAGAATCAAGAACACGCAATTATGTAACTAAAATCACACAAAAAAATCGCAGAACTAACACACAGGTCACAAAAAATCACGCAGTCTTGCAACGAAATTGAAGGCTATTAGTTGTGACTGACCGTAGACTACCGGCAACCGTCACTGGCAACTGAAACCGTAGACTACCGACAATTTGAGAAAAATTTAGGAGTGCGAGAGAGAGAAATGGAAGGTTAGGGATTAGGGTTGTGTTTGTGAGAGTTTGAGTTCCTTTTTTTTTAATTAGGATAGCAGGTCGGGTTGGGATTTGGGCGGGTTGGGATTTGTAATAATTAATAGGAAATTAGAAATTGAGAAAATACCAATAAAATGACAAAATTATTAAATTTATAAAATTAGAATTTTGGATAAATTTTCAAAAAAAAAATTTATTTTTTATTTTATATATTTCTTCGTCGGTCCCATTTGGTTTTAAACCGTAATTAAAATTCTCAAACCTAAACCAAACCGTTGTTGCCCGGTTTGGTTTGGTTCAAAAACCATTTTGTTGAGGGGTCCACGTGGCACCAAACCGTTGGTTTCGAAATTGCAGTTTCCGTTCGATTTTTCGATTTGACGATTTTTGCTTACAGCCCTAGGTGAGGTTGCTTAGCACAAGCATAGAGCTTAAATTTTTTTATTTTAAGTAAATTTAATATAAATAAAAAATAAATTATTTTTATAGTCCAAGCTTGGAAGTTAAAATAAGCAGAAAAGGTTAAATTATTAATTCTCAAACTTAAACCAAACCGTTGTTGCCCGGTTTGGTTTGGTTCAAAAATCATTTTGTTGACGGGTTCACGCGGCACCAAACCGCTGGTTTCAAAATTACGGTTTCCGTTCGGTTTTTCGATTTGACGGTTTTTGCTTATAGCCCTAGGTGAGGTTGCTTAGCACAAGCATAGAGCTTAAATTTTTTTATTTTAAGTAAATTTAATATAAATAAAAAATAAATTATTTTTATAGTCCAAGCTTGGAAGTTAAAATAAGCAGAAAAGGTTAAATTATTTATTATTCTAAGATGGTTAAAAGTAAAATGAAAAAAACTGATATTAATATGTGAGCAATTTTATGGTAGCATTTTTTGCTATGCGTTCGCATACGGGCCTACCAACATGAGCATGTCGCGGGACCAATTTGAGCATGCTTCCTTACGGGACAATTGAACTCAGGTCAATAACCTGATGTGACTTTAATTTTAGGGAAAATTGCAGCAACGATTATTTACTTTTTCAATTTTTGTAAATTTTATCCTAATTTTTAATTTGCGTCAACGAACATCCCTAATCTTTCAGAAATATGCAGTTGGAGTCCAAACTGCTGTAAACCACCCATTTTACATTTAATTGACTAAAAAAATTGATTTTGATCAAATATGGTAAGAGCAAAATGGTAACTTAATTAATTCAATAATATAAAAAACTAAACAAAACCAGAAAAAAGATTAAAAAAAAACCATAAACCCCACATCCCCCACCCCACCCCACCCCACCCCAACCTTCCAATCAAAACCGTCCCTCTTCCTTTTCTCAGGCGAGCCCTATCAAAAACAGCCGTCGCCACCACCTTCAATTCACATTGCCGCCACCACCACCACAACTCTCCTCACCATCACCCACTACCAGTTTCGACACGCTCCACCGCCACCTTCCAGCCCACTCCACATTTGCCACTGTAGATTTGAAAATAAACCAAGAAAACTCACCTCATACTCGAAAATCAAATTAAGAAAACTCACCCACAATTGAACGATAGCCATCGCCGCCACCCAGACGATGCCACACCTAAATTGATACCATCACCACCATCCCAAATCGCCAACAGCCTCTACAACAAAACTCATAGTCAATAGTGAAATGGTTGTCAAATCCTCTGCAATTTCGAAACCTCAAAATTGACACCAAAGATCTAAGAATCGGATCTCCACCAATTGCCACCATCACTAATGATTGTCAAATCTCCACACAACCACAATCGAATCTCTTAAAATCAAAAAATGAAAATCAAAACTATTACAAAGTTTCAACAGATTTATTAAGCTATTGAATCTTATACGATTCACTCCTTAAGTGGGTGTTTGGCACCCATTCTTTTGAAGAATGAGTTTTTGAATAGTGATTGATGTAAAAAATGTGTGGTTAAAAAGTAAGAAGAATTTTTGGGTTTATGTGTAATATTATTTTTTTTGGAGAATGTGTAGTTAGAAATAAGTACTGTAGAAAAATGAAAATGAGAATGAGATAAAAAATGGGTGTCAAACGGGGTGTAAATAGCGATTTCTTGCCATAAAATAATCATAAACCACAATTGAAGAGGACAAACAAAAAGGGCTATAATGGAGAGTTCATCGACCGTCGTGGCTCCTTTATTGGGTTCTGGTTTTTTCATGATGGGGGTGGGGGGGGTGGGGTGGGGTGGGTCGATTTTGTTTCTTTTTTTATTATTTTATGTAAAATTTGCGTAGTTACCATTTTTCCCTTATCAAATTTGATCAAAATCAATATTTTTGATCAACTAGAGGTCAAAATGATAGTTTTCATCCGTTTGGACCCC